GCTGGGATGAAGAGTGCGTCATTGGAGGATCGTGCCTACGCACTATCGCAGCTGAATCAGATGGTGAACTTCCACAAGAAGCACCTCTGCTCTGGGCGAGGAGCGCCTCTGGTGAGTGCAGCTGCCCCTAGTGGACCCTTTGCTCCGGACCAGCTAGATGATAGCAGGAAGTTCAGGCCGAGTGGGGCGGCGAGCAAGATGACCTACAATCTTGTGATACTGGATGGGAAGGAGGATTATCTTGCCGATAGGCGAGAGATCAATCCGGAGTTAAGGGAAACGGGAGTTATCCCTGATGAGGCCGTCACTTGCCAGATTGTGGTTCCCTCGAAGACGAGGTTGGGTGAGTACCTCCCGAACTACGAAGAGACCGTGGGCACTGTTGCAGGACGGGAGGCGGCGAAGGAGTTGATGAGACTGCTCTCGTGCGATTTCGACGGCCTGGTCATCAATTCAAAGAGAGTCTCGGAGTTATTCGAGGAACGTGTGCTGAAGGAGACCGGGCGCGAGGCTGGAAACTGGGTGAAAAGTGACCAGGCCATCTGGTTCCTGAAGGAGATTTCGGGCATGGAGAACGCTGAGATGTCTTGGAAGTTCTTCATTCCGACGCTTAAAGCTTTCCCGATAGGGCAAGTGGAGGCGATGCTCATGGTCATGTACGACGGGGATGGCGTTCTCCTCAAGGAGAGCACCAGGTTGGTTGCCGTTAGGCACACGCGGATCGGACGTGACTTGAGTTACAGTGCCGTTAGGCACAGGTATACTCAGGAAGATGCACCTGGCGGATCTCTAATGTATGAGATGCATTGGAATGAACTCCCCATGGTGGGATACGTCATCATGAAGTTCTCGGACTTTCGGAAGGCGGTTCAGCTCCAAAGGGTGAGGCGAAATGGAAAGGCCATGATCGAGATATTGATCACGAGGCCCGTTGTGTACGAGACCATTGGGGATGGTAGGCAGGATGAGGGCCTGATCCCACTTGTGGGAGCCATGGCGCCGGATGCTGAGGTATCGCCTTCGTGGTATGTCAGGGACAGGCTGCGGAACTACTCCGGTAGGTACGTGGTGGTAATGGTGGATCTTCGGGTGCACTGGTCCTTAGTTGGACCCGTGTTTTTGACGAGAAGGAAGACTCTTGCCGTTAGGAACGAGATCCACATGGGAGCTTGGAAGGCGGCGTATATGTACGATGATTACACAATAGTGTACCATCGGGCATGGGACTACGGTGACTTCACCCCCGTTAGGGGAGAGCACAAGCGATCACGGGAAGAGGTCAGGCTGAATGTGACTGCCACGTTCTGCTTGAGGTGCGCGGAATTGATGCCGAATGGGATGCACTTGTGTCCCGGGTGCGCGCTCCCGGTCTTTTACCCGAACTTTATCCCCAATGCGGAGGAAAAGGACTTCGAAACGTGCCACATCGTGCCGGAGTGGGTGAGGACCATGGGGCAGTTCAAGCCCAGGAGGATTCCCTCCGAAGTGGTCGGAGTCATCAAGAGGAATTTGATTTCCTATTCGATGGCATCCGATCTAAGGATGACGGTGCAGAGCGGCATCAGACTTCCCCCTTATCTTGGTGAAGACAAGGGAGGTGTCGATGCGGCGTGGGATGAGCTGGCGAAGGTGCTCTTCCAATTCTCCTATGTGTCTGGGATTTCGGCCTCGGATGCGTTTGTGGAGAAGTGGGTGGCGAAGCACCTGATCAAGACCAACCAAGTCGATAGATTTGAGTCGGTCACGGAGTATTTCCGAGCCAATCCAAGACACGCTGCGCAGTGGGGTAGGCGTATGACGACTTCCGTTAGGAAGTTCGCTCGTCATGACACGTACTTGTCATTCTATATCCCGATGGCATACGTGATTGGTTCTGCGGCTGGTCATCTGACCCCATTGTACCCGACCCATCGAAAGGACGTGGACATCCTGGAGAGTCATGCATTGATGTCGCAGCTCAGGGAGTACATGGTATCGGAGACAGGGTATGATGAGAAGAAGAGGTTGAAGGAGGCGATAGCCAAGGTGCAGAAGGCGATCAATGCCGGACAGTCGGAGCCTCCCGCACCATTCCGTGACCCATTCGTCTACGTTAGCGACGAAAGGGTGAGGACGGTTCTTGACGGTCGTCAACCCGAACCATTGAACGTGGACATCGAGGGACTCCAATCAGTGCATCATGCTGCGCCGAGTCCTGGTCCCAAGCAGGAACCGGTCCCCAAGGGCGGAAAAGGAAAAGGGAAGAAGGGGGAAAAGGGCGGTAAGGGCGGTAGCCCTTCCGGCCCGCCACCAAAGTCAGGTGAAGTGCCGGGTAAAGGATCCGGTAAGGGCGGTAGCCCATCCGTCCCAAAGGCGAAGGATGACGCTGGACCTGCTCCGATGGAGGTTGATGCAGCAGCTGCTCAGCCGAAGAAGTCTTGGGCCGAGATGGTGGTTGAAGGGGCCAGGCCGAGTGCCAAGGCCAAAGTGACCCCGGTTCCCAAGGCAGAGCCGAAAGGGAAGGCTGCTTCGGCATCTGAGGCGAGGAGTGCTCCGGCTCCAAAAGCTGTGGCTAAGGAGACGAAGCAGGCCGAACCGAAGGTTGAGGTCAAGAAGGAGAAGACGAGCGGAGGTGACGCTCCCGGCGGTAGCCGCGGGTCGGCCGAAGGGCAGAAGAGAGAAAGGCAGTCCCGTTGGGATCCCGACGAGGCTGCGAAGGAGTCGACAAAGCGGGAGGCATCCACGAGGCCTGGCGACGTCGACAGCAGACCAGGTGCGGCAGCGAGAGAAGCGAGCGGGGATGATCTTCACTCCGCGCTTGGCAGATCTTCGGCAAAGGATGCGGTAGCGCCTTTGACGGCCTCCAAGGCGATGGCAAAGAAGCCTGAAGGCGGGGAGATCCGGCTGCAGTCTGCTGAGCGGGCTGCGGCGAGCCCGGTGGAGGGTCACTTCCTGGTGCTGCCTGAGAGTTCGGTGGTGGACGCTTTCTTGACGATCTCCACCAACAGAGTGCTGAACAAGCAGGTTAGGGATTTCATCAGAAATGGTGAGGACGCGTCGGCACTGGAAGCTCTCAACCATATCGTGACGAACTCTCAATCTGGGAGGAGGCGTAGGGAGTCGGATGTTTCCCGTACTCCTTCTCGGAGGTCCGTTAGGACCGTGGACACCAGGGATTCCAGAGAGTCGAGGAGGCGCAGATATCGTCCGCGGCGCGAGGATGATCGCGACAGGAGGAGGGACGATGCTCGTGACCGTCGTGATGATGATTCACTCGATCGGGAGCGGGATCGAAGGCGAGATGATCGCAGGAGATCCGAAAGGGATCGTGATAGGGACCGTGCGCGGGGCGGACGTGACCGGAGGAGACGTGACGATAGCCGGTAGGCTGAGTCACGAGGATTGCGGCCGATAGGCTTACGTCCGTTCTCCAACGGTCGGCGCGGTGCGGAGGTGGCGATGTTCCTCCCGGACCGCTGAGGCGCGGAGGTCATGTCTCTCCCGTACCGCTGCTGAGCTGCTGGACGTGCTCATCCGGAAGCAGTGTGAGTGAGAGGGAAAGCAAACTGATGGGGGGTTACTCCCGGGTTTGCGGAATTCAGGCATTTTTCAGGTACGCATGGTCAGGAGTACCTCTTGCCGATAGGCGAGGGTACTAATGGACATACGTTATCTTTTATTTCATGGCTTCTGATAAGAATTAAACTTCTTGCACTTCTGATGCAAACAGTTGTGACCTATTGTCGTCATGTGGACTTTTCCACAAGGTATGTTGGACAGCGTTACCCCGATTAATTCGGGGTGGTGGCGGGAATTTAATGCCCGGGATGTCGCGCGACTGCCTTTGTGGGTTTGCTCCACCGCTGACGGCGGTAGTGTCCAGCTGTTTGCGGACGTATGCGAGCAGTTAACTCCTATCAGTAAATGGCACGCTCCACCCGTCATATGACGGGCTCCTCGTGAGGGGGGTGTGATTAGCCATGGTTTATTTCATCACCAGGGATGTCGCGGTAGTGACTGACCTGTGGTGTTTGGCTCAAGATTTTGGGTTCCGTCGCGCCTCGAATGGGCGTCGCCGAACCCCTGCGTCGAACGACGGCATCTCGGGGGAGAAAGAGACCTCGGGCCGCCGCCAGGTTGGTAGGGACCAGTCGTGCGGCCTGTTGTCGACCAAGGTTGCGGGTTAACCCTTTTCTTGTTTGGTTTGTTTTCCCTTTTGGTTGTTGTTCTCTGGTGTGTGGGAAACCCTGATCTTTGGGACCGGGGATTGGTTTGCTTTTGGGGAACCTTTCTTTTGTGGCTTGTTTACCCCAACTTACCCATTGCCTGGGCACAGGCTCGTGCCCGAATCACATATTATTATTATTATTATTATTCTTATTATTATGTTGCAAGCAGCAATCATTCCAAGTGCCTGCTTTCATCTGAGTTTCCTTCTGAACTGGTGCCAGATGACGCCCAGTTCCTAAGTTTGCTCAACATATTCTCATCTTCCCATCGTTTTGAGAAAACTTTCCGTGGAGCGAACTCATCAAAATACCCGCCCCGATAAGACGGTGGTTACCCAACGAAGTGCCAGGCCAGTGGAGCCGCAATGAAGACCCCCTGAATGGTTCTGCGTAGACAGTTTTAAACAAGGTTTTGATAGTCCCAACCAGACATGGACGCAGCCGCCGTTTTGCTTCTTTGCATGGTTCTCAGTAGACCATTTCAACACTGGGTTTTGATTATGACTCAGTTCTGGAAAAGGGTTTGGATGTGCCTGTTGTGGATTTCACCGGTTCTTCGCCCTGTTGGTCCTGTGTTCAGTAATGTTTTAGTACTCTTTTCGCATTTTTTACAGGGGTCCACAAAAGCCACATCCCAAGCGTTTGCTGACAGTCAAGCAATGAGTGTCAACCTCTTGGGGGTGGGTCAAAATTAGACGACCAGGAATTGGACCGCCTGTTTTAGTCATGGGTTCCATTTACCAGGGCAACCCATTTTGGGGTTACCCCATTTTTAACCCACAGCCTCTTCAGGAAATCATCCGGAGGGACTGCAGCCAGACAGCGATGGTGGAGAGGAGCGCTTTCGCTTTCCGAGGGCCGGGTCCTGGAGGTTTTTCGGAGAAGGTTCGCCGGGTCCGGAGATTTGTCCCCCAAGAGGTGGGTTTTGACCATCACCTTTTTGGGTGAATTACAACGACCTCACACGAACTCACCCCAAATGGTGGTTTATGTGGGGAACAAATTGACCCCCCCAACCACCTTACTTCAGGTTGGTGAAAAAAAGTATAGTTCACTCAGACCTGTCGAATCAAGTTGAGCTTTCTTTCGGTAGCCCGAGGTCTTGGGGGAAGAAGTGGCCGTGGTGGTCAAAACCGTGGTGGTTGATCCCAGTTTGGTCGGTAGGTGAATTCCACCCCATTCTAGGACCTATTTTTGGCGGTTGGATTGGGATGTTCACTGGGGCTACGATTTGGGTTTTGACCCATGGCCAAATTGAGAACCCTGCAACAACTCGGAATTTGATTTGTGCTGGTTGCTCGCGAAATGACCTTGAAGGGATATTTTAAGAGGATCTTCTTCCGTACCGAACTTGCTGCAACACCTACTTGCAGTTCCTTGCGAGCTGACAGGGAAGCGTACGGGACACAGCAGGGGATATGGAGTTCTGGCCCCTGCGGCAAAACGGGCAAGGGTTAGAGTCCTAGGTGTATCCTTGGTCACATCAATATGGTTTGTGGGTAAAAACAAGGTGCCTTTTTGGGGATGGTTGTCTTTTTAGAAGGCTTTCTGGGTGTTCACCAGGGAACCGGGGGTTTGACCCATGGCCATATCTCTATACATTTGCCCATGCGTAATTGCCAAAGTTTGTTTCCTGAAGCTACATCCGGCCGACTGTTTCCGATGGCAACAGCAACAAGCCGGCGCCACAATCAAACCCGTTGGGCCCAGACTCCGCCGCGCCTGCACCAGTGGCATGTGATGCGTTCTATGAGTTGGCTTTCTTGTGCGTGTTGAAAATAAATTGCACCAGCATAGACCCCAGATACCGGCATTGCGAAACACGTGCCAACGATTGTACGGCAGCACCTCCAACAGCACTGCCCGAAGAGCACCTCAACCAACACCCCAAACAGCATTCCAGAACAGCATAAGAATCCCCAAATTGCATGCCCCCTAGCCGGCAATCTCGCACCTGACCTGCACCTGCATCCCAAAACATCACCAGGCCCCCCAAAGCAGCACCTGGCCCTTTGACTCTTTGCAGTTGCAACATGTCGCAACCTGAGACAAAGAAGTGTGGTCGGTTCAATAATGCTTTATCAGTTTTGACCGCACGGTCTCTCAGGAGCAAGTCCTGGAACATGTCCTCCAATGTGAGCAGCTCATTCGCCTTCAGCTACCCAGAGGGCGAGTGGCAGCCCGGCAGGCGGGCGAAGGAAGAGAGGCTTCGTGGCGGAATTCTAGGAATCGGATTTCCTCAAATGGGTCTAGGTCAAAATTAAGTCACCCCGGGACCGCAGGTTTTAGTCTCTTGTCCATTTGCCAGGGTCCCAGTTTGGGTACCTATTCTTGACCCGCAGCCGTAGTTGTCAAAACCGTTTTGGGATCCCATTTTGGTTGGTAGGTGAATTCCACCACCCATTTTAGGACCCATTTTAGTGGTTGGATTGGGATGTTCACTGGGAGTACGGGGTTTTGACCCATGGGCAAATCACACCATGGAGAAGCAGACTAAAACCTGTTGTGGCTCTTACGTGTGGAGCAAATCGCATCCTGGCAAATGGGAAAGTAGACTAAGGCCTGCGGTGGCTCTTTAAAAAATGAGCCACACCCAACTGTCCGCATTCAGGTTCCTGCATTTTCCGTTTGAGTCTTGCCGACAGCGAATCTCTCAACCGGTGCCAAGTGCCTTTTCCTTGGTAACCCGAGTTGTCTCACTCCTGCAGTAGTACCCTGTTCCTGTTTTGGCTGGTGCACCGAGACACACATCAGCAAGGGCTCTCTTGTTTTCCCCCCGAATGCTAAAGGGCATATCAAATGCGAGGCAACGCCCTATTTCTCCAAGGTCGCCCTTGTTGCTTTTGCTTGGGAGGGTTCCAGTAAATTTCGACCACCTTGGAGAACTGAGTCAGCAAAAACATCATCGCGGACCCTTTTCCACATGAAGGAAATAGGGACACGACAATTGCAAAGGCACTTTGCCTGATTAGTTTGATGAGATGCTGAAAGCAAGGACTATCCTTTGTCGGTCTCCATCATTCTCCCACAACGCTCAACACAGCCGATATTGACGATACATTGCAGCGGCCAATCCAGAGAGACTGTGTGCATAGTTTGCAGGCATAGGTGTCCTTTTTAGGTTAGTCTGGCTAAGAATAGATGGGTTCCACTGGTTTAGATGGGTTTTATCCCATTTACCAGGGCCGTCTATTTTACCAAAAGGCCACCTATGTTTGCAGCAATTGTTGCAACAGTACCTTGCATGTGCTCAAGGTGATCTTGAGTGTTGGTTTGCAGTAGGCAGCAGCTTTACTCGCTTCCTGCTCTACGAATTAAGCTGCCCCGACGCGGGTTCTGCTTTGGTGCATGTCGTCGGTGAAGTACTGCAGGACGAGGGCGTGGTGGTAAAACGTTTACCTCAGTTGTTCAGTGGCACCCTTTACCTCAGGTGTTTCTTCCACTCGGAATTTGGGACCATTCGGGAGTGTCAGCATATTCGCATCTAACGAAGCCTTCTTGCTTTCGAGTTTATGAGGGTCGGTACAACTTGCGTCGTACATTCATCGTTGTGAAACATGCCCAGCAAGACCAGCTTAAACTCGCAAACATGGTTTTCTTGTTAAGCTTGTTCATGCCTCAAATCACGGGCGCACTCCAGGTTCGTTCCAACTTGATGCGTCGTTTTTTCTGGTTCAGGGCGAGGCCGATGCGGATGCCCAGCGTTTTGGACACCTCAATGCTGGACAAGTGTGTGGATCCCTCCCGGCGCCTGGGCAGATATGGAAAACAAGGAGTCCAAGAATGTGGGTTGCCTTTCAGTCCGCTTTGTTTGCTATTTGTGGTGACTTGCCGCATCTTTTTTTTGGATTTGTGGTTCATTTCCATTTCAACTAGCACAAATTAGAGTTTTTGCCGGTCCAAGTCTGGCCCAGATTCCAATCACGTTGTTTCCCAGGTTGAGGGGAGGTTAGGGGTAGGGTTGGGGGCAGGTTGGTGCCTTTGCTTGCCGCTTGTTGTTGTTGAGTGTGTCTGCATCATTCACACGATGGAGTCCGATTCCCCATTGCACTCGGTTTCAGGGCGAATGTCGTGTACACCTGAGGGTGTGCTCCTGAGAGTACATGGGTGTGCCCCAATGTACTGGGAAACCGTACCTGTTGTTGGCTATGTGCCCCATATGGGTGTGGTAGAACCGGGTTGGTAGTTGTTGGGCCATCATAATTGTGCTGGACTTTCCTGCCTTGCTCAAGTTGATGTTTCGCAGTCGCTTTTGGAGGGAATGGTCATGACCATGGCAACCTCTTTGCTTTGCTGGCCCTTAGCAGGGAATATGGGATTACCCTCCCAAATGGTTTGTTTCCTTTTGGTTCCCTTCAAACCAACCTCAAAAAGGGTACCATGTATATATATATATGTATTGATGTTATGTTGCTTTTTTTACATTCCAGAATCAAACAGCTTGCTGTTTGCTGTGGGTGGCGAAAGCTGGCGGACTTAAACCACCCCCGGTACCCTCTGGCAACCATGCTTTTGTTGCAACGAAAAATCTGAAGTTGTAAGAGCCAATCAGTTTTTTTGGACATGAAGCAATAGTTCACCGAGACTTTGCTTGATTGTGGGAGAGTAGCTCTGTGCTTGCAATTGCCTCAGGTATCCAGACTGTTCCTAGTTACTAGTTTCACTTGGGCAACCTGCAGAAGCCTTGAGAAGTACATAACGTCTCAAGACAGGAAAACCATGCGTCTCCCAGCAAAATTGGTTGACCATGGGCTTTCAATGGTTTAACTTTGCTCCTGGCTCAATATAGTGCTTGCCTGGAATCACTCCGTTAGACACGGGTTGACTCCTAAGCTTGGTGCCTCTGGCCTTCTTTTTGTTCCCTTGCACACATGGCAACCCGCCTTCGGGATGCGCGCAGAACCGCAAGGCCTCAGGGGCCGAGCTGGCACATAGATATCTGCGAATCCATCTTTTTGTTGAGGATACCTTGGGCAAAGGGAGCACTACCATCCACTACCTGTTTTGTGGGTCTCCAACAAAAACAACATATGTCTGTGGCTCAAAATTAATCAGGAGGGGCCAACCGCAGGTTTTGGTCCATGTTTCCACTTACCAGGGTGACCCATTATTGGAATTTTCCGGTTTTTTGAGCCACAGCCATATCAGGTTACCCTTTTGTGGTTTTGATTGGTGGCTTGGATTGAACCTGGTCAGCCACGTTTTGCCGCCGGGCTCCGAACCACCGGGCTCCGGGCAACGGTGAACATAGATGGGTGCGCATCTTTCCCTTCTTGGGGGGGGGGGGTTTAAAGGGAGGCCAAGAGGAAAACCCCCCTTTTGCTAGGGCTACCTTCCATTCCCATTCTTTCCAGGGATCCTTTTCAGCACACTATCAAAAAAATCAGGGAAACAGCTAGTTTTTGAAAGTTGGAAAAAATGGGGAATCAACCCCTATATTTTTGGGGAATCCCCTACAAAAAAAGACACACCCAGACCCCCAGTTCCTTCGGCTGCCTATGCCTCGATCCGAGGCACATCCCAGCCGCTGCGGCGCTCCCTTCCTCGGACTCGGAGTGCGGGACTTCGGACTGCGGCGCGGTTGGAATCGGTGAAGTGAGTCACAACCAAAACTCGGATAAATGAAGGTTAGTAGGGAACGATCCCAACCATAAATAGCTGCGGCCGCCTTCTCTGGGTGAACTTTTTTGTACCGGGGTTTGATTATGACTCAAGTGGTGTCCATGCGCTTGAGGCGTTGGTTTTTTTCTCCCACCGTGATTTCAACCGCACATGGGCGTAGGCTTCTTTTTTGTGGCACCTTGAGAGCATGGGAAGGCAGGGTGCTGTGTTTTGGGACCAATCTTGGTTAGCTCGGCGTTTTGAGTCCGAAAAGGCGACCCCTTGACTGCTCAACTTCAGGCACTGAGGTCGCCACATTTTACTGAGACCTTGGTGCAGGGGTCTAAGGAGAACGTGATGCCTTGCTTGGCTTTTCTGCATGGATTTGGTGGGGGGACGCTTGCTATGGATTGCTATGGACTGGACTTAAGCGGAGAATTGCCAGTGAAACTCATGCGGACTGTAGCTGGGGAGTCCTCCAAATCGTTGAGTCTCTTGGATTCCAAAGAAACCGAAAAGAAAGCGTTGCCATTTGGAAGATCCCTAGTACACATACTGTTTTGCGGGTCTGGAGCCCGCCTAGGGGCCATTCATGGGAGACTTGAGGCTGTGTCAAGAGCAAGGATCTTCTTCTTGTTGAGCAGCCCATGCGTTTCTTCATGTTCCAAAAGGAAGCCACCAGGGTAGATGACTCGGCTCACTTCGAAAACATTCAAACCTTCAGAGCTTCCTTTTACGGCGGTTTCAGGCTCTAAAACAATCCGGAGAGCCGCCATGTTCATATGCAAAAGCTCCAGCTCGGGTCGATCTCGGACGCGGGTTTCCTCGAGTCCACACCTCGCGTCCACACCTCGTCTGAGTCGAGGCGACGAGGGTGCGTCGGGCAACCGGCCCCGGAACACCGCCTTCGCGCAGCAGACGATACCCTCCTACCAGCGCCTTGGCCGCAAGACGCACTTCTCTATGGGGGATCTGATTCCCCCCGTTCTTCTCAAGCATCGTTCTTCTTACACAACCAGCCGTTTTCCCCGGGTTTCCGGGGGTTTTCTAGACAGAAGGACCCCTGGGCAAGGAATTGGGGAGGTATCCCTCGAACTTCCCGAGTTACGGGGCTCGGACTTTCGTCGCTGGGGTTTGGACCATTTTGGTGGTAGAAAAAAGCGCGCGGACTTTCCTTGAAGGTTAAGAGCAAGGAATTGGTCCCCTAGCGGCGTCCTATGGGGATTAGGGATTAGGATTGGCCAATCCCTCCAGTTTGCATGCCCAGCTTAACGCACCGCCCAAAAAATGAAGAACCAGTGTTCCGCTGGTGGGATGCCATAGGATTGGTTGAGCAGCCCGCAGAAATTCATGTGAATTGCTGGGGCAGTTGCAACTCTCGTGCGATGCGTCACTGCATGCGGCAATTTGATTTCCACGCTGGAGCAGTCTGCAATAACCAGTTGCGATCTTGATCTGGGCACAGGGCTAGCGTCCGGCAAACTTGGTAATGGCTGGTAGCGTGTTCAGCACGTCCTGGCTCAGAAGATTCCCGGTGGAATCCGATGCAAGGTGTGGCCAGCAGGCAACTTATTTTTGGCCGTCGGCGGACATTCCATGATCCATTCCTGGATCCCGGCTTGCCAGTCACGAGATGGATGTGGATCTCACGCCACATCCACGGCATTGACCATGCTCTGCCTGTATGGCGAATGAAACAATCGCTTGCAGCCTGCAAGTTCTCAATGGACTGGCCTTTTCACATGGAGAACCCCACACTCTTTGGGAAAGTTTTAAAGGTTGAGTCTCCCCACACCCCCAAATTTCCAGCTGGGATAGCCTTGGACCCGGTCCCTTGAAAAGGAAAAGGGCCCCAAACCAGGACCCCCCTTTTAGGGATCCATGTCAATTGGTTAGCTGTTCCCGCCTTCTCGCCCTTCGCCCCGGCTTTCCGCCGCATCTTGCGCTTAAGCCGCGGCTTGGCGCATTCGCTTGGCGCATTCGCCGAGGTTCCTGCTGAACGGGCGGATGGTCTTGTGTGCCGCCACGGCCGGGGCCTGCCTCTTCGGGCTCATGGGCATCTCCGCGCTGCTCTTCTCGCTGCGTCTTGGCGTGCGATGAGAAAGAACTCTCTGGGAAATGGGCGGTGGGGGGTTTGCAATCCACGCATCCACGTGATACAAGAGTAAAAGGGAACCCCAAAGACGGAGCCTTCAAGTAGAGGGGGAGATTCCCTTGTAGTCACAGAAATGCTTGGATAAGCCCCGAGTGATCCCGCAACCATGCTCTGGGTTTTAGGTACAAGGGGTGTAGGATGGGTCAGTGACCAGGAATGGGACCGCAGGTTTTGGCCCTTTCTATTTACCAGGGCAACCCACTTGGGCTTACCCTATTCTTGACCCACAGCCATTTGAACTTATCAAAGGGGGTAGGTACGTTACCGGGGGGTGGGTAGTTGAGAGCGCTGGGGTATTTTTAGGAATCCTAAAGGAGCCTTGTCTTGGACCGCCCCCTCTTTAGGATTCCCTATGACATCCAACTTCCTTTCAACATGAAATTGGGGGAGGGGGAGAATATCCGACCCTTTTGTGGGGAAGACCTCCGGCAAAATGTTTCATGGGGAACCTCCCACGCCCTTCCGCCCTGAAAATGAGTGGCATCTCCTCGGTGGATGGCTTTGAAATGAAATCAGAGTGAGACTAACTAGCTGTTGGGTCGCTTATTTGAGACAGACCCGTGGGAGTCCGTTTTGCTCCTTGTTTGTCCTCCCTTTTGGTGACCAGGTGGTACGAGACCTTAGGAAACAGCGCGGAGTCTTCTTTTCAACGCGCCCAAGCAAGTTCTCGCAGTGTGCTGCCGCAGTGACTGGTTTGCTGAAGTTTGAGGCTGGGTGAACTCTGCCAAGCTTTGAAAGTTTTGTTTTTGCGGAACCGCCCAGAGGGTCCAAGTGCCTCCTGAGGATGGCTTTTGGGGGGTAAACAGGGGTCCAAGTACCTCCTTAGAAGGTACTTGGACGCCTGTGACTTCCCCCAAGGCCAGGAGCCCTGTGATTGCCCGCGAGGGAGCCAAGACTCACCAGGTGCAGCAACAAAACCGCTCCCAGTCCTTGCTTGCCCCCGAAGATCGCGGCATTTGTTGTACGGCCCTTGACGAACATCCAGGAATTCAACTGGTCGCAAACATCACCTTTGGCCCAAAAACAATTGCCCAAACTTCCCCAGACATACCTAGACCTTCCAGGTGTGCATTTTGGTTTGCTGCCTTTTTTCTGCAAAAGCACGCCTTTATTAGGGCGCAGATCTGCGGCGCATGCCATTTCTTTCTCCGTTCCGCAGATTCGACGAATCCGATCTCCGAATCTCCGCAGGAACGCGTCGCAGCTGCGGATCTCCTATGACGGGCCGGAGCTCATGGAGCGGAAGAGCGCCCTGAAAAAAACAAAAACGAGACGCGCATGGAGCGAAGTCCCCTGGCATGGCTGTTGTTGGGAAACATTGTACATTCTTGCTTATTGTGGTTTAGTGGGAAATCCCCACTTAACTGCTAAACATAATAATTTGTTTGCTCCCCTTCCAACGTCAACCAAGCTGGTGCATTTTGCCAAGGGATGTTAGGACTTTAAACTTTTTGCCAACTGGTGGGTTTTCCATCAACCCACTGAAAGTTAAACTTTCGGCAGGGGAGCAGAAGGCAACCGAGCTATATACCCTGGTGCGAAATCGCTAGGCAAAGAGAAATGGCATGAACCCAAGGATTCCCTTAAAGGAAACCACTAGTTGGATGGCTTATAAGGGTCACAACTACGGAGATGCCCTCTTCAGAAGAGAAACCTGTGCACTGCCAGGTTTCTTGCGTAGAGGGCACAAGGCCAACCGCAGTAGATCAGTGGTTTGGTTTCCTTTGATCCAGTTGTGTTGCTCAAGGCACGTGTTCTCGGGGCCATTGGGGGCGATTAAGTGAACGAGCTTATGTTGTTGGCAGGCCAATGTCAACCACGGGTTTCCCACCCACGGGTTCCCCATCTTTTCATTCCAGGAATAGGACTGTGACGGTGGACGGCCGTAAGTTGAAGACCTTCCATCGCCGGACTGTTTGAGGCGATCAGCAGGGTTGGGAAAAGTTTGAGTTCCTTGCGCCCTTTAAAGAGAAGCCACGAAAAATTTATTTAGATAGCGGATTACACATACCTGGGCCCTCATAAGTGTGCATTTTTGTGCTGTTTGGGCCAAAGGCTCCTTTTGGTGCAAACGACACATTTGTTTGGCCTCAGTGCATTGTTTTGCGAGTTTGGCTGTTTTGCGAAACCAGGATGAAGACGAACAGGCGACTTTGCCCGACCCAAAGGCGACATTTCCCGACCAAAAAGCGACATTTGCCGACCACGTTCTGGCAAGATTTTGAAGAGCAAACGGCGGAAAAAAAGAAAGGAAACAACAAAAAAACAGGCGCAGACCTGAAGGGTCTAGGGATTACACAAGGGGTGGGTTCATCCCCATTTTCCATCTAAAGGGGCCCCCTGTCAGGTTCCATGACAAAACCAGAAACAGCACCAGCCCAGTCCAGTTGCAGGCCCGGCACTGGCATTTGGTCAGTGAACTGTTGGGTGCCTGCTTTCATTGCTTCAGTGAGTCGCTTATGTGAGCTGATAGATGCTGGTTGTTCAAAGTGCATGCGAGACCTGTGCCTTTGCTATTGCGGGTGCATTGCACGGGGGCCGTATTAGAGGTATGTCCGGCAACTGCGCACGGCTGCTTTTTCCTTTTGAGGGTCTGTCCGATGGTCTGCTTCTTCCTCCACCGGTGCCTTCCGTCGACCGCGCGGGCCTGTTCTTGTTGAACTCCGCTGCTTTGTCTTCTGGGGCCTTTGGAGGCGAGGCTCTGCTAACCCCTCGCGCTGTCAGCTCCAGCTCCTGCGCCAGAATGCTCTCCTCACATGTGGGTATGTCTTTTTGTGGTGATACCCTTTTTGGGGTTGGTTTGAAGGGAAACAAAAAAGGAAGCAAGCCATTTTTTTGGGGGGGTCCGTATTTTAAGACACACCCATGTACCTTGGTTGTCCTTGCTGGACTCCTCCTCGTGTTAGGGCTTTCGAAGCTGGTCAGCGGCACTGGCCTCGGTGCCCGGCTTCTCAGTCACACAGCACCTCCGCAGAGGCCCAGCGACTCAAAACCATCTCCAACGACCAGAGTTGGCTGGCGAAGTTTTCTGTTGCC